GTGCATTTCCTTTGGAAGGAGAGAACGCAGCAATGAAAAGTGGTTTTTCACATGGAGCTCTGTTCACATGTAGGCCATCATCTGTTGGCACTTACAGAACAAGAGCCTGGAGAAGAGGCAGGCTGTGGTCCTTCTCATAAGCCTCCCACTTTTCCAAGGACTATAGTCACTTTTCTTCTTATCTCTGAGCTCACAGAAGCCCTTAGAGGCTCTGCAAGACCACTGAACAAACCATGGGTAGTGAAGAAGAAATATTGATGGGACTTACATGACAAATTCCTGTGTTGTTTAAAGCCTGCTTTTCTTTACTCAAGGGATGATCGGAAATTAGCAAGCACAGACACCCACCCAGGCTCTGCAGGCAGTGATGAAATTGCCTCAGGCCTGGGATTGTTGTTCTCATTTTATGATGCCTCTGTTCTTGCTATAAAATTAGGTTTCTACCAAGGTGGCCAGTAGTTGCACTGCACTTGCTCTAGTGAGTATTTATTTTATACTTAAAATGCATTTCCTCCTGCCATGATACAAACGGTAACAGCATGTTGGTCAGGTTAGATGTTCTAGGAACTCATGAAAGAACTATGGAGCTATAGATTGAGCCTGCTGGAACGGAAACCTTCATGTAAGTATTTTATGTCTGAATCCTAGAGTGCGAAAGGCATTAGCAAAGATGATGGACACCTGTGTTGGATGATACCTTCGCTTTGCCAACAGATGTGAATCAATGTCCTGAGCAGCTAAGGCTGGACGCTGATATGTAGTGTAAGCTACATAGGGAGCTCAGGTGAGCAAGAACATGTGTGCTGGGCAGGTCAGTGAGCAGGGAACTAGCAGAGGAGATAAGGATATCTACCTTCCCTGTGATCACTAGCTGTTGGATCTTTTGCCCTATAGCTGACAACAAGTGTTCAACCCTGTCTTTCAGCTGAGTGGGTGCAAAGTTTTATCTTCCCTGATTTGGAAGAGCCTTAACATATAAATGGGGGAAAAAATGGAACAAGGAGCTCATGTGCTCTGTTTAGAAAGAGAATGATTCGGTACTGCCATGATCAGGAATCTCAGATGAAGATGAGATGATGATCTCAGATCAGGGGCCTAGAACATCTGCCCTGTGAGGAGAGGCTGAGGGAGCTGGGCATCATGATTTTGGGAGACTCCCACCTCCTTACATAAGAAAGGTTTTAATCATATATCTGTCCCACATTCACAGTACAAAAGACACCACCATCTCAGACCAATGGTCTCATAAATCCTAGTCTGCAGCCTTCATAGCTTCAGTACCATGGTCTCCAGCAGGTTGAGGGAGGTGATCCTGCCCCTCTGCTCAGCCCTGGTGAGGCCACATCTGGAGTATTATGTCCAGTTCTGGGCCCCACAGTACAAGAGGGATGTGGAGCTTCTGGAGAGAGTCCAGCGCAGGGCCACAAGGATGATCAGGGGCCTGAAACATCTGGCCTATGAGGAGAGACTGAGGGAGCTGGGCCTGTTCAGTCTGGAGAAGAGAAGGCTGAGAGGGGACCTGATCAGTGTCTATAAGTACCTCAAGGGAGGGAGTGCAGAGGATGGCGCTGGTCTCTTTTCAGTGGTGGCCATCGACAGAACTAGAGGTAATGGCCACAAACTGAAGCACCAAAAGTTCCACAGGAACTTGAGGAAAACTTTTTTAACAGTAAGGGTGACAGAGCACTGGAACAGGCTGCCCAGAGAGGTTGTGGAGTCTCCTTCTCTGGAGATCTTCAAAACCCACTTGGTTGCAGTCCTGTGCCACGTGCCCTAGGTGACCCTGCGTGTGCAGGGGGGTTGGACTAGATGACCTCTAGAAGTCCCTTCCAACCTTAACGATTCTATGATTCTATGAACAGCTGGGATATTTCTCTTTGTGTTGCTCTGTTGATGAGTTCAATATTGACAAAGATCTCAGTGCAGTAATTAAAATGCAGACTTTTCCCATCCATCCCATTGCATGTCATATTTGGTGGAACAAAATAAGTTCACTCTTGCTGCTTCCAACTGGCTGGCAAATCTGGAATTTTTATATTCACAGTAGAACATCTTCATGGAGATGCTTTCCAGAAAAACCTATCAATAAGTGTGTTTGAGCACTGTGATGTATAGTGGGAGATGTGGATTTAAGAACTGAAAATGAAAGGGGAGAAAAAGCATATCCAGCTTCCCTGTTCCAGGTGAGTGCTCTCCAAGAACCACATGGTTATGAGGAGCAGTAGCAGGCTCATTTGCATCTGTGCTTGAAGAGGAAGTAGCAGACATACTGTGGGAAGCCCGGTGAAGATGTTTCTATTTGGTGAACTCCAAAAATATCTGTAGTGGGACACATGGATGAAGCACTGACTAATTCCTGGATCCCAACTGGACTCAGAAATCGGCTAGAGCATGTTTGCCTAGGGACATTCACTTGGGAGTGGGATTCAGTATATATGTTTAACCAGAAGGGATTTTTCCCCCATGTTTCTCTGTTGATTTTAGATGTGTAAGCAACACTTCTAAATAAGATCCTAAATTCTAACCAGCAAAAATTTTCTGATGCGAGTCCCACATCCTGTGTTGGCCATCAAACGGAAGAGTACCCATTATAGATATTTATCTCTTTGCCAAAAGATAGGGACAAGGTATCACACATCTAATTTTAATGTCTCCACACTAAACCTCTGTCACTGACTTTGGCAGCCTGAGCTTGCTCTCCTTAGACTCAGTGGACAAAGATAAATACGTTCACGGCACGAATCATCTGACCTGCTTCAGATGTTTGCTTTAGGGTGAGGTAACTGACTCCCCAACAACCTCTGCCCCTCCCCATGCCACTGAAGAAAGCCAGGCTGACAAGCTTGGCTGGAGACATTTGCATGGTGGATGCTTTCATGGGCTGAGGTCCATGAGAAATTATTGGAGGGAGAGCAGAACCTGACCAAACACCAGCTGGAGAAAGAGCTGAAATCCCTTTACTGCACCAGAATCTGAAACAGAGATATATCTGGCAGAAAACACATCTGGGGACTCCCTTTAAATTTGTAGTCCTTTTCAATCTTCAGGAAGGTGAAAAGAAGGGGGATATTAATACACAGCACCCTAGGAAAGCAGCTTCAGGGGAAGGCCCCTCATATCTATCTTATATTCCCTTCCCTTATATAACTTTCTTTTATTCTATTTTTATTCACCTCACCATTTAAAGTTATGTTTTAATTTAGATTTTCCAGCATTTATTTGTAGACATGAAGTTTTTATACCCATAGCATTATTTTCTTCCCCATCTACTGTCCACAGCACTTAACTCTGTGCCTACTTTCTGCTACCTTCATTGCGACACAGCTCTATCAGGTTACTTTTGATTAAATATACATTGGCTTCTGTTATTTATGCTTGTACAGTTCTGGTAAGAGTCTTTATTCTAACTTCAGCAATCTAAAGATTAAACAGATAATCTAAATGAAATGTTTATCTGTATCTATAGTTTGATGGAGAGTGATGTGATGTGATTCGTCCCCACTGCCACAGAACTTAGTATTTGAATGTGCTGGTTAACTCTTGAGCATGCCTGTCTCTCTCACTCTGCATTGACTATCTCCTGGTGATCATTAGGTACTTGACATTTCACTTTTAGACATATGAGAAAGAACTTCTTTCCTAGGAAGGTGCCAGAGCCCTGGCACAGGTTGCCCATAGAGACTGTGGAGGCCTGGAGATCTTCCAAACCTGCCTGGATGCCCCCCTGTGCCCCGTGCTCTGGGTGTCCCTGCTGGAGCAGGGGGTTGGACTGGATGATCTTTACAGGTCCCTTCCAACCACAACCATTCTGTGTGATTCTGTGATCATGGATTATTTTATTTATTTATTTATTTGTTCTAATTTACAGATAAAGGCTAATTGATTACATCAAAAATCCAGCCAGTTTTTCATGCTATGCTTTAAATTTTTCTCTAGTTAGCATCTGTAGAGTTTAGTAGCTGCAGGGTAGGTGAGATGAGTGGGGTGGAAGAGGCTCAGAATTCAGTTTGGGGAACTCTATGCAGAATTTTTCCTACACTGCGTTATGTATTGATGGGTCCCTAACACAGTGTTTTAACTTCCCCATTAGTGTCTGCCTCTAGAGTTTCTCCCAAAATAACTCCTTAATACTTTTGGGTACCTGGAGTTAACTAATCCCCCAAATACCCAGCCCATGGGCAATATTATCAACACTTTATCAGATTCCTGTGTTTGAATGCCCCCTTCCTGGAAAACTTTTGAGGGAAATGCCTAGAGACCAAATGACCTTTTGCTCATCTGTTGTATTTAATGATGTGCGCAAGATTCTTGACATGCTTAATACAGATGCCATGGCCTTGTGATATCAAAAAATAAAAAATAAATTTTAAAAAAGATGCTTTTGGCTTTTCTGCTGGATGCCAGTGTGGTAAAATGCAGGTACTCAGGAAATGCTGAGCAGGAAGCAGTAGGTATGGTTCAGGGATGAATGAGTTTCTTGGCCTAATCTCATTACCTGGTCAGGATATTTGTATTTCATTGTAACTGCCACTGGGAATCGTGTTTGATTTGGAACAGATTTCAAGCAGGAGCAAGTTGCAACATCGCATTTCCACTGTGAGCACAATGAGGGACAGAACAAGTTAGAGCCTGCTTGACCAAACGTGGGAACGTCACCCGCGTGAAGGGGAGGGCAGTGTATGAATCAGTTACGGGGAAAGGGAAGGAGCAGGTTGAAGTGATGATCTCCCTCCCATTGCAAAAGGGATACTTTAAGCGCCGAATATCAGGAGTGTGGTTGGTGAGGCTAAGTGAGCGAGCAGGGGAAGGCAAGCTCCTCCTCCAGAGTGGGAGGCTGGACCTAGTGATTAACTCCCCAGCAGAGGAGTGGCGCTCATGTTGAATTCTGAAGGAACCTGTTGGGAGGCTGCTCAGGAGAGTAAGAGGTCAGGAAAGTCCTGGAATCTGTCAGAGGACTAATCCAGCTTGAGAGGCACTTCAGAGCATCAACAGCTCTGGTAATGTTCAACTACCTAGCAGTAGAAGCAAGGCCCCAGTTCCACCGTACCTATGGGGGCCAGCAAGGAGTGTCTGGGCCACTGAAGACCCGTCTAGAGCAGCTGAAGAAGCCATGGTGGAGAGAGTCCACCACTCCGCTAGTGCTCCAGCACAGTGAAACAGCTAGACTTGCCATAGATGCCTTTCTTGAGCAGGGAGAACGCGGCTACCTGAATGCTATTGCTGAGGAACGGGAGCTGCCTTTTCTTTCCACCTTGGACATGGAGTATATGAACCATCAGAGAAGCCAAACCTTTCCAGAACCCAATGCCTCAAAAGACAGAGATGCCAACTGTGCTGACACGGACACTGGAGACGGGTGTTCCCTCTACTCTGAGCTAACATCTGGCACCTACTTTCCACTTATGTCTGATGTGCACCCTCCAGAGCTGGAGCTGGGGTGGCCAGGGATGCCGTACTTCACAACATCAGGGCAGACTAGAGCCACTGTGGTTTTCCAAAGAAACAAGGCTAACAGCATTAAGGATTTGCTCCGGTCCCTGATCAGCCGGGCACGGACGGTATGTACAGAGCTGCGTCCCTTCGGTGGTGTCTTTTATCACAGCTCCTGTGTGACTGTGGCCACGACGACTGTGGCCAAGCTGTTGTTTCTGGCTAGATGTCTGTCATGATGTGATTGCTTTTTGTCTTCTAGCAGATCTGTTAATGTTCCTGCTCATTTCTGTTCTTGTAACTTCTTTCTGCCCAGAATTTCATGTCATATGCATAGTGCCCTTTAAGACACTGCATCTCTCCTTGCATGTAGGCAGAGCATGGCACGAAGCCCCAGAGCAAGTGGCAGGGGGCACAGCATTAATGTTTAGCTGTCCTAAGCCAGCAATTATGCACCATCAGAGCTGCTCTGCCCTCCGCAGGGAGTTTGTAGGACCTTTTTGACCCATGGACCCCATGGTTAAGCATGTGTTAGGACAAGAGGGTTGCATGGGTGAGCTGCTAGGAAAAAACACCGGATCTGAGTAAACATTGAATATGTCAGACTGCAAATCCTTGTTTATGGTTTGCAGTACTTTAGACAACATCACCATAGCTTCTAGCTATGATGTGCCTGAGTTTGAATAAAATGAGCCCATTTTTGGCCTGTCATGCACTTTTTGCTGTGTATGGATTGCCAGGTTTCAGGCATAATAATTTGCTTCTTAAGCACAATCCTTTCTGGATTTGCTCACTAAATTATGCTCCCTGCCTTCTTTTTTCCCTTTTACATTGCCATTCTGCTATGTACTAGAGCAGCAGCTCAGACAGCTGTATCTCAGATATGTTTTCAGCTTTTATTACCTTTGTCCTCCTTGTAAGTCTTTTCATGTTTTCCTCATTCGTTTTCTTTTGTGCCGTTTCAATAGCATAGGGATATTGAGTTAACTTCTAGTTCAAAGTTCACTTTTAATCAGTCAGCTCCTGGGCAATTTCTCTTATCACTGTAGTAGTTTCTTATTTAACTTGACAGTAACTCCTTAAATCCATTACTGCATAGCACAGAAAGGAGTCGCTAAAGCATTGTTACTCCTGGACTTTAGCTGTGTTAAGAACAAGCCCATTGCCAGATGAGAAAAACCAAAGCATTATCTTCTATTGCCATCTGCAAGATTGAGAAACATGGTTATTTGTGCCCAGGAGATCGAACTGGGCCCATGCCACAGCTCATGTTGCTGTGCGCTTCCGTAAGATCATTGAACAACCACATATCATTGAATTGAAAGTCAGGGATGGCAGTGAAGTAAACAGGGATCTTTAGGGTTTTTTAAAAGCAAAGACGACCATTTTGCAACATAAGCTGTTGCCCAGTTGAAAGAAGCTGTTGCTAATACCTGAATGCACCTTTGTAGGCAAATATGGGAAGTTTTGTGCAGGAAGTAAGCCACAAAAATCTTTGTTTGTCCCTGCAAGCACCTGATTTATGACATCTCAAACAATCTGACAGGTCCTGTGACACTTGTTGCATCATTTGTAGAAACAGAATTTAAGGCATAGTCATGGTCAAATGCGCAAAGTAAAAGATTCCTGAGGAAATGTTCCCTGGTCACTTAGCGCAAGTCCGGGATCTCTGATGATGTTTTAATCAGCTGGTTTCACCTTGATTCTTCAAACCACGTATAAAATATCTTGCTGCTTTCTCAGTTCACATAAACTTACCAATAGCTGCTGAGAGGTTGCACAGGCAGCATGCCCACCTAGAGGTGCTTTCTTGTGCATCTGGTGCACTGGGAAAGCATAAAGAATTTTCAACGTTCTGTGTTCAAGCTGGGAGTTTTCATATAGCGTTTTTGACTGCGCTGTGTAAAATGGGATAGTGAACTTTAAACTATCTTATTGGTTCATTACTGATGTTTTACAGACTTCTGGTTTAGCAGATCTGGCCAGGGTTTCCCCTGGCTAACTCTAGGTATGACAGCAGTTCCAGCTAGGTCATACTCACATTTACACATCTTTTAAATAGTCTACTGAGTCATTTTGCTTGTCAGAACATCCAAAATAATATTGCTGGTACAGTTTTTAATGTCAAAATAGAGCCAAAGCTTAAAATATTCCCTGCTTGAAGTAATAATAGCCACCTGACAGAGAATCCCTTACTTTTCACCTTTGAAATGCTATTTTTGAAGCACAGTGGCTCAGATGCCCTCTGCAACAGACTTTTAACTTCTCCCTGCATCCCTCCCTGGTTGTTGCTCTTCTACATGCTTATAGCTGAAATAAAAGTATGATAGAGAGCCAGTGGGATCTGTGAAAGATACTGAGATGCTCAAATGATTCTCACGGATCCTGTAGACAGGAACATGTGCATCTTGAAATGTTGTTTGCTGTTTTCTCTTGCACAGTCATACAGAACAACATCAGCTGACATATTTTGCAACAGCATGTTTTTTTTTGTACTGCCAAATCATCAAAATTTGTTTTAGGGGTATCTTTTGCTGGTGCGGTTTGTCTTTCTACTTTACTGTATTTAACCAGTTGTCTTTGAAGATACATTTTGAGATTTGAGCTTTTCTTTTTGCAGACATAAGAAGATGCAGCACAGCCACACCTTAGCCTTCATTTGTTAAAGTTATTACAATTTTACTTGTGTTGGATGAGTTCCGAGCACTTTTGAACAGTTCATATGCTTTTCTTTCCACCCTCTTGTGCAACTCTGTCACTGGTTGCATATCTGCGCTTACATGTGATGATAGAAGGGTCTTTGCTGGTCCCCAGGGTAGCAATGCATTGCTTCAAATGGCAACACTATGGTAATGACCAAAGCCACACTACTATTGGCAAATACCAGTAAAACCAGCCCTGCTGGTTAGAAACCAGACAGATGGCAACCCCAGTGGGATGCTGGTTAAGTGCTGTAATTCCCAAAGTGATGACTGCAGTAATTGCTGAATTGTGAGTTTCCAGAAGTGGATTCAGAAATGTCATGATTTAACCCTACAATGGCAAGGTGTGAATTTTTTAGAGCCTGAGGGGCAGCTGTGTCTTTGTGACATCCAGGCAACCAAGACCGGCTACAGGCTTGGAGGCCGTGATCAGCATGAACAGGACATCTCTGTGCCAGTCCCAGCCATGCAGCTCCCACCACTGAGGCCAAGGGGCTGAAAGCACTGGACATATATTGCCCGGCTTTATAGGACCAGATTGACTGAAATGCCTAAGGCCTGTTAAAATGGGTTTTCTGGAGCCTGGGTTGAAAATGGTATTTACTCAATCTCTACTTTGGTATAGATCTGTTCAAAGTTATTTTTGAGGTATCAGACCTTGCGGCAGTACTGCCTTTTTAGGAGCTTTCAAGGGAAAGACATCCAGAGTCTCTTGGCTTTGGGTCTGGCTGGGGTTACTGAAAGAGCTACAGCTTTTTTAGTAGGCACAGTGGTGAGGGGCATACAGTTGGAGTTGAAGAACTTGAAGGTCTTTTCCAACCATAATGATTCCATGATTCTGTGACTCTTTACTTACCAAGAGGACCTGCTGATTTTACTGGCCCTCATAGCTGTCCTGCAGCACGCAGGCTTCGTATGAGCAGCCCCCAGCCTGGAGGGGTGTCCTGGCAAGGACCCTTGCCCCTCCAGCGTGTGAGGCCATGGATGCATCTTCTACCCCCTCATCCCACCGCGACTACAAACCGCAGTTCCTGCAAGGCTGCCAGCCTTCCCACCTCCTTGGCCATCAGCAGCAGTGGGCACTTGCCAGCCCCACCAGAGCAACCCTACCCCAACCCCTGCTTGCAAAAGGATCACATGCAAAGAGGCAGTGAGCAGAGCCAGCACTTGTTCCACCTTCCAACGCTAAGCAAAGACCTGCTTTGGAAAACATGAGTGTGATGATCACAAGGGCTCCACCCATCTTACACGAGTGTGAGCGCTGCCGCCTGGGGCACCTGCTCCGGTGCCAATGCTGAAAGCTACCGCGGGGTTGCCAGGAGATGCAGATCTGCTTGGCAGTGTGCTGCGTTGCAGCCTATAGCATGGGGTGCCACGGGTGGCTGCGGCCTGTGCTGCCCCTCACAGCTGTGCTTGGCCTCATCCGGCCCATAGCAAGCACCTGGGCCTGTTTTTGTTTGTTTGTTTTTTGTTTTTTTTTGACAAGAGCTCCCAAGCACAGTCAAAGCACCAGTGGAGACAAGCCCTTGGACGTGTGCAGACCTGGCATGCATGGCACAGCTGAACCCAGAGGGCCTGGGGCTGAAGGAGCTTCATTCCCTCTTGACTTTGAAAGTCAAGTTTAGATGGTCTCTGAGGCCAAGGCTGTCCCAGGACTAAGCCTCAGATAAGCTGGAATATTCTGAGGAAACTGTAGTGGAGAGGGACTTACCTTGGGGTCCTGTACAAGGCTTGGGCTTTTTTTTTTTTTTTTTTTTTTTAAGAAAATGGTAGCCCAGAATTCATTTGGTTAAATTGCCTGGTCTTACAGCCTTTGGTCTTTGGCTGAAAGCCAAAAGAGAAAGACATAGTGAAGCTCTGCTGTTTCTGTGAGTCACAGCACTACCTAATGTCTATGGTCCAGCAACCGAGCTGATCTGGGTAGCCAAATACTTTTATCTTGCTGCTTACAGAGCCCTCCTCCTCGCAGGAGGTGACTCTGCTGTCCATTTTTGCAAGCGAGGTTCACATGGGACAAGTGCTGGCCAAGTGCATGGGGTGTAGTGCATGGGAGAGGTGCTGTGTCTGCAGTTTCCTCAGCTGTGCAGGCAGGAAGAGACAGCCAGGTGCCAGCGTGGTGGCAGGCACAGCTCCTGTGGGAGGTACCTTACAGGGATGGTCTTTGGGAAAAAGTCAGATGGAGCCAAGAAATCTTGCCCATCTGCAGAGAGCTAAATCCACAAGGGAACAGGCATCTCGGAAGAGAACCTCTGCTGACTGCCAAGTGCAGGAGGTCTCTCGGCAGCGTGTACATGAAGCACAGGGCAGCAGTGAAGCAAAACATGAAGCAAGAGAGCACAGTGAGGTCAGCACAGCCCCCTGCTCTGCCCAGAGAAAAACATGTAGAAGGAGAGCTAATCCCTTCAGCAGGGCCATGGAGGCCAGCCTGTGCATATGCAGCAGAGATGTGAGCCTGTCCGCACATCCTTGCTTCAGCGATGCTCTGAGCTCCTCTTCTCTGCAACAGTTCAAGGTCAGACCTGATTCAAGATCAGAATCTGATTCAGCCCGTGCCTAGTCTAAAGCCTAAACCCCTCGCACCTAAGAGTCTTACAGCCGTCATCAGCATTTACATTTTTATTCAAAGAGGAACAGCTGAGCAGAAATGGCACAAGAAAGCTCAGCCTTCAGAGTCTGCTCTGCAGGTGCCTGAGGCCATAGAGATTTGTGTTTGTGGCCATGCTCTATCCCAGGCAGAAAAGGGAAGACTTCAGAAAGGTTTCCCACCCCCTCATGGGATGAATCATGGGCAGCAGGGACAAGGATTTTGCATGCTGTGTGTAGTATAGAGCATGTACATTGAGGAGCAGAGTAGATAAGGCCATTGGCGCTTCCCTGAAATGCTAGGTCATTTTTATTGGGGCATCCTCTACTAGGTGCAGAAACTTGAAAGCAAAGTTATACAAACAACTTTCAAGTTCCAAACAATTATTTACTGTTAGACACTGTAAGTACTGAGACTAGCATACTTGATTAGTAGTTCCAGTATTTTTTCAGCTTTTGAAATGAAGCTGGCCTGTCTTTAATTCCTAGATTACTTCATCTCTATCAGTCTTTTGCCATGTTACTCTGCAACCTCAATACCAGCTGTTAATGGTTTGAGGTCTAGGTTACCCAACCACTCTGTGAGCACTCTTGAGTGAAGTTTGTGAGGCATGGCTAACCATCTGACTCAGCTTGCCTTATTGTAGTTTCCTTCTTCAACATGTCCCCCCCGCCTCCAGTACTAACAGTGGTGGCCAACAGGTCACAACTGTCACTTTCTGGTCAAAAGAACATCTATCTTGCTGTTATCTTCTGGCAGGGTCACTCTGTGTGGAAGAGTGCAGCAACTTCTCCAGTCACATCTTAGTTGGTTTATGGCTGATCTCTTTTGATCTGTTGTGCTGGCTGCAGGTCATTTTGTCCTTTAAATTTTCTTGTTCTGGAACAGTTTACTGGTATTGATACTAGTCATGACCTACCTTCCATTTTGCCTTTTTTTTTTTTCTTTCTAGGTTTTGGAGTTTTAGTTCATTTGGCCAAGATGCTCTCCTACCTTACATCCCATCTCTCTTCCACAATGGACTGTATTGCCATCATTCTCATTCTTTAAAGAATTGCTCATTCTCTTTAATAAATTAATTTCAAACCTCCTCTCTTGGAGATCTTATCTTGCAGTTCTCCAAAACTGAGACAGACCTTTTTTTAAAATACATTTTTTTTAATTTCAGTGTTTTTTATTATTATTCATACTGTAGGATTGATAACTATTGCTTCATGTTTGCTCTCACCAAGACACTTTAGAATATCTACCTTTTTATTGACACAGTCAAACGGAGAAGAGCTCTCCCATTAGATATTTCTTCATCTTTTGTATGAAAAGCTGTCACTACTGCATCCCAAAGGTGTGATAGGCATCTCTGTCCTGCTGTGCTTCTTTGCCAGAAGATGGCTGTGTAGTAAAAGATTTCTACTCGTTCTGAAACCCTGAGCTCTGGATAACTCAGCCTGTGACCCATAATAGGTTTCATCCATTTGATCTTTCCAGTCCACTGATGTTTGGGCAATCCCCAGTATACTGGCAGCTATGCTCTCTTCCACTTTATTTATGAGGCAGATTCTTTCATCTGCTTGATGTCATTGCAAAGCTGCTTCTGTTGTTTTTAAAAGGTCATGGCAGCCAGGGAGGAAGAGAGGTGTTCCTCATACCTGTAAAGGGCCAATATCACACTCATCTTAAGCAACAAGGTCAAGAGGGGGAGAATGGGGAACTAAAGGCCAGTCAGCCTCACCTCACTAAGCCGTTCTCAGGAACATGAAGAATAAAATGATGACTGTGAAAGCCAACATGGAATTATGAATGGCAAATGGTGCCTGTCCAACCTGGGTGTCTTTGTGATGAGATGACTGGCTGCATGGATGAGGGAAGAGCAGTGGACATTGTTTACCTTAACTTTAGCAAGGACTTTGACGTGGTCTCCCATAGTCGTTTTATAGTCAGCTTGGTAAGATACAATGTGGATAGGTGGACTACAAAATGTGTGCAAAAATTGACTAGATCACTAGATTAAAAAGTGCTGTAATTAGAGGTTCAAAGTTCAGCTAGTGGTGTCCCTCAGGTTTCAGTATTCATGCCAATACTGTTTAACTTCTTTATTAATCAAGCGTATTAGGAAGAGGCCAAAAGGCCAAAAGACCTGTTCATTCAGGCTGGAGAAGGGAAGATCTCATTGCTGTCTTCGGACACCCTAATGGAAGTTTACAGAAGTAGTGTAGACAGAATCTTCTTGGAGATGCATATCAAGTGTATTAGGGGCAACAGAGACAAGCTGGAATCAGGAGAATCCTGATTATATATTAAGAAATTGCTTTTCCTGATAAGGGTGGTCAGACACTGCAAGGACGCAGAAAGGCTTTGAAAATCTCCATCTTTGTATACAGAACTCAACTGGAGAAGAAACTGAGTAGCCTGGCATAACTTTGAAGGTGGATGTAACGGTGACATTGGCCTGGCTTTGAGCAGGTGGATATGGGGGAGCCAGATGTCCCCCAGAGCTCCCTTACTGCCTGTGTTAGGCACTAGGTGTAGTTCCCTCAAGGGTGTGATGCTGGAACAAAGACAGGTACATACTAGATTGAAATCTCTCCTCCCTTACTTGACTTCTCCCTTCCTAAAGAAATGGCACCCCTTTATACTAATATGCCAATCAATCATTCATGGAGTCATTCTTATACCCATTGAATCATGGTTTTGGTCAGTCTAAAGTTCTTCTGTTGTATTTTGTATAATTGCTTAAGGCAATACATGCTTGTTGCGCCAATGATTTTGAGAGTCTGCGCACATGCATTACCCTTTCTGCTATTTCTTTCTGTGCATGACAGATTGAAGAGACAAGAGGTGGCAAGATGGGCAATATCTTCATAGTTATTAAGAGTGATTTTATCTACCATGGTGAGGTAATGACTGTTAAACACAATATTCCAGATACAGTCATCATTCTTGTCTGTACTTCCCTGAGACACTGGGGGTTTTATCACTTAATTCACAGTCTGTAGCACAATACACTTGTTCATGAGATTTCAACAGTCTTTTTTTTCCATCCATTCCCTGCCCCTTTTCTCCTGGCTAGGTGATAGCAATTGTGATGGATCTGTTTACAGACATGGAAATACTATGTGACCTGCTGGAGGCCTCAAGCAGACGGCATGTACCTGTGTACCTGATCCTGGATGAAGAATACTTGAAGCATTTCGTGGAAATGTGCGATAAAATGGCTCTGACTCAAGACAACTTCCCAGTAAGTATTCAATCATACTCTGATGTAGTAACTAAGTTTTGGAATTCGTTAAAAAAAAA